CAAAAATGAAGTTTTGGAGCTTTATTAAGTGAATCTGGCAAATAAAAATTAGTAATTATTTAATTTTTATATTTATATTTATCCAAGAAAGTAGAAAGTTTCTTTTATTATAATTATTTTTAATGAAAATTAAGTTAGCCGACATCTAAAAATTTTTATTAAAAAATTATGATAAAAAAAAAATATTACATTTGTTAAAAACCTCAAAAACTATTAGTGCAATTTTTTAAAAATATTTTTTAGTTATAATTTAATAAATTAAGCAAAATAAAATAATAAAAAATGTCGGCTAATTTTATTATTATTGAAGTTAGCCGTCAGTTGATAATAAAAAAAATTTTTTAATAAATTATTTACAATAAAAAAATGCTTCTAAAAATTTTCACTTGTAAAAAAATTTGAAAAACTCTAAGTGCAATTTTAAAAAAATATTTTTTAGTTCTAATTTAATAATAAAAAATAATTTTAAACGTCGGCTAACTTTAGTGCTATTAAAAAATTGCATTAAAAATTTTCTCAAACTTGTCAATTTTTTTTTTTTTCGACAATTTGTCACAAAAATTATTAATTAAAATTTATTTAGCTGACATTTGATAATTTTAAGAATTTTTTTTAATAGATAAATTATAGCAAAAAAAATTTTAAAAAAATAAAAAAATGCAATTTTGTGGAAGAAATTTTTTTGTTAAAGAAAATTAAAAAAAAATTGTAAAGTGACAGCTAAATTTAATGTCATAAAAAATAATTAATTTGGATAATTTTTTGACATGTTAAAAATTATTTTAATATTTTTTATTAAATTTTATTTATCAAAAATTAATAAAAAATTTAATGACACTAGTTAGTATTTTTTTTGTTTAAAAAATTTTTTTTTTAAATAATTAGTCAAAAAAATTTTATAAAATATTTTTTAAAAATAATTATATTTTGTTTATAATTTTTTACTAAATAAAATTTAAAGACTGTCAGTGCATACAACTTTAACAATCGATTTTCCACTCTATAAATTTATTTATAACTAGCATAAGTCATATATATATATATATATATATTAAAATTTATGTAATGAATAAAATAAAATAAAATAAACTGAATGAAAAATATAATTATCTATAAAAGAATAATTATTGTTAAGTTTGTTGGTTAAGCCCCTTAAAAACAAAGTATTGATATAAGTAAATATAGGTAAATAGGTAATGACCTAGTTTTTATATTTTGATGCAGGAATAGATTGAAGTAAGCCCTAGAAACGCGAGTAGTCTGCATGCAATTCAATAATTGCAATGTACTCTTAAATTAGCAGTTTAATATGAAAGAAATAAAATAAATTTTTAAGTTAAATAAATAAAAAATGGAGGAATTGATTGAAGAAATAAAAAGTAAGAAAATTCTCCACTGGAATTACCGAGGGTTTGAGGAACTGCCTTCAGTGCTTAAACACCACGGACATGAGGTCTGTGAGATCTATTTGAAGGAAAATAAATTGACATGTTTACCTCCTTGGATATGTGATTTTAGTAATATAACAAACTTGTACTTGTCCGGCAACAAGTTAAGTAAATTTCCAGAGGAATTGTCGAGGATGAATCAGTTGTTAGTTATCGATTTGTGTGATAATAATATTGAGGTACTGCCACATAGTATTCAAAATTTATCATCTTTACGTCAGTTGTTACTTGATGATAATTATTTAAATCAATTACCTGTAGGTAAGTAATTTTTTCTTTTTAATTTATTATTTCTTCTTTTATTTTATATTTAATCAATATAAATTATTTCTTCTTTATTTTATTTGGTTAAAATAAATTAATTTTTTCTTTATTTATTTTAAATCAATTTCTTCTTTAATTTAAATTTAATAAAAATAAATTATTTCTTCTTTAATTTACTTTTTAATAATTAATTTTTTCTTTAATCTACATTTAATCAATATAAATTATTTCTTCTTTAATTTATTTGTTTAAAATAAATTTCTTCTTTATTTTTTAAAATAAATTAATTTTTTCTTTATTTTTTTAAAACAAATTTTATCTTTTTCAATTTATTTATTATTTTAAATCAATTTCTTCTTTAATTTATTTTTTATTATTATTTTTTTTTAAATAAATTTCTTTTTTAATCTAAATTTTAATAAAAATAAATTATTTCGTCTTTAATTTTTAAAAATAAATTAATTTTTTCTTTATTTTTTTAAAATAAATTATTTCTTCTTTAATTTACTTTTTAAAATCAATTTCTTCTTCAATCTAAATTTAATAAAAATCAATTATTTCTTCTTTAATAAATTTTTTTAAAAATAAATTTTCTTAAGTTAATTTTTAAAAAATCAATTATTTCTTCTTTAATTTATTATTTTTTTTTTTAATTCACTATTTCTTCTTTATTTTTTTAAAACAAATTTTATTTTCTTCAATTTATTTATTTAAAATAAATTTCTTCTTTAATCTAAATTTAATAAAAATAAATTATTTCTTCTTTAATTTATTTATTAAAAATAAATAAATCTTTCAGAATTATTAAAACTAGAACGCTTGGAAATTTTATCATTATCAAGAAATAATTTCATCACATTACCAGAATGGCTGGGGTCATTAAAAAAATTAGATAAATTAATAGTCGATAATAATAACTTAGAAGAGATACCAAATCGCCTGACACTAGCGTGTTCACTTACCGCAATCTCCGTTAAATCAAACAGGTATTTCATTATTTAATTTGTATCTGTTGGAAAATAAAAACAAAATTAAAAAAAAAATAATAAACAATTAACAGATTAAGATATTTACCTCTAAACTCGTTTATATCGCCCGTTAACATAATTTTCGACTGCAATCCGAATATCAACTACTTATCGTACCCGATTTTGTGCCAACTGCTGGAGCTCGGTTGGGAAGATGGAAAAAATTGCTTGATCAATGGGTAATTTTTCTTTCTATTTTTTTTTCTGTTAATATTAATTGATTCTAAATTTTTTAGATGCAAACTGGCGATGAGCGTGAATAAAAATATTAAATTGCTGGTTAATTTATGCGG